TATTTCTCAATTATCTCCTTCCCCATGCGCCGGTCTATTCCCTCACCACTACCTCAGGTTCCGGTTGGTCTTTCATGCAACCGGACGGCGAGTTCGATACACAAAGCCGTTCCGATTCACCCCACATACTGATTGATACACCGCAATCGAGTCGTCGCTCCCTGAATCGTTCCCCCAACTCGGGACGTCTACGTCACCAAAGTCTTCCAAACAGTATGGACTCCCCTGTGCGACCAGACACAGATGCTCAGGCGATGTCCGGATCGACCCGACCGGTCGGTCTGTCTCGCTCCGCTCGTCGAGTGAAGGGGCCGGAGCGTGCCGATTCGGTCGCCTGTGTCACACGAGGTTTGCCCAACCCGGTTCAATCACGCCAGATGAACGCACGTTGGAACGGGGCTACGCACGTGTCTCGTCGAAAGGCGATTCGGAACACTCTCTGTGTAGATTCGCAACATGCGAAATGTTTGCGTCGGGGTGCGCAGACATCACGTTCGTATCAGCGCAAACAGGTTGCTCTTCTGGCTGGAGGTCAGCTGCCTCAGGCTCGTCGTAATTAACACGCTGTCTACGCACACACACACACACACACATGTGCGAAGAATTTTAAAAAAATGACGCGAAGTGATTATTCGTGACCTGCATCGCTATCTGTTGCTCCTAACTCTCACTCACGGTTCTGATCTCAATGTCTGATCGATTGGGCTGACGAATGTTCTTGCTTCTGAACCGTCCACGTTTATCGTTTTCTCCACTCCATCCCCTATTCAACCTGCACTGACATTAACACGCCATCATCATCATCGTTGAAAGATACATTATTTAATCTTTCAATCGCCTCTAATAGTCATATCTTCATGTTGATTGTTTGTGCTGAAAAACTGGATGTGGGCAATAGATTGTCCAATCGCGGAGTATTTTGTGTGTCCGCTTCCGTTTATGTTCTCATCGGTATATGACTTATCACACAGACACACACCCAGCCCCGCTCTCTTTCTCTGTGTGTGTGTGTGTGTATTTCCACAATCATTGTGCTCTTCGGTTGCAGCATCCGTGATTTTATTTTGTTTGTTTTTTCTTAAAATGTGTTTTATTTTTTCGTTTTGTTTCTTTTGTGTGTGTGTTTTACCCTCTCCATCTTGCTACACTTTACGTGTGTGTTTAGCTTCAGTCATTTCTAAAAATGATACAGAGGACAACAACAATAAAACCACATGTTAGTCTTATCTATGTCACTTGTTGCGATCGGCTGACTCATTTCGCTTCATCTCCAGTGTTTGTTCATCTATTCCGCTCTCCCTGTCTCCCCTCTCTCTCTATCCGGCCTCGCATCCCCACCCACCACCATCTCATGCATTGCTCATATTCAATTCCAAAAAAAATGCCAAAATAAGGACCGTAGCAAAATTTCGCAAAAAAGTCTAGTCGTATTTTGTACGCACACACACACGCGCGCGCTCTCTCTGTCTCTCTCCGTCACTGAATCTAGTTGTTTATCAAATTATCCACTAACTTATCTATCTCCATAATTAGCCTGTCACTGCGTGTTCTCTTCTCGGTACTCAATGATTATTATTATTATTGTTGTTGTTGTTCTTACTTTTCCTGTTCCAACGCATTTGAGGTTGGGTCTGCGTTACGAATTAAATCACATCTTGGTCGTTCGCATCACGGCGGATCTGGTGCCTTGTTTTTACCATGGATGNATGGCGATTACCAGGTTCGACTATCATACATCACCTCCGCCCACACACATCCACCATTATCCTGTCTTAGTCCCCACGAATGTGATTTGCCCGCGGCCTATTTTTTGCTCTTCTGTGCTCTCGATCTCTCATCCATTCTGATGAACTCGTGTATGTGCGTGTGTGTGTGTTACGTCATGGCTACGGTTCTGTCTCACGTGCTGTTTTGTGCACTCACACTGGTCGGGTTTCGTCACTAGTTCATCTTTTCGAGAGTATTCCTCATATACACTGTTCGTATGCATATCTCCTTAGCTGTTCATTTTCTTTTAGTGTCTGTCTCTCTGTCAGCTTGTATGTGTCTTTTTCTCTCTCTCTACATCTGATGGCTGGATACGATAATAAATTCAACATAAAAACTGTCCATGACTATAGTTTTCTCTCCACAGCCTTTTACCATTAAACCAACAATCAGCACAAAGCGGGTTTCTGCGGTAGATTTCATTCTTCTCAATCGGGACGATTGGGAAAATGTGTGAGCCAAAATGGGAGTAGACAGTCATTGTGTCGATTCACCGCCTTACAATTGGCAGTTCGGTGTCCAGAGAGCATAGTTACCTGAGGACAGTTGATTTCAACGGCTTGTTCGCCTTTTTTCTCGTGTTTGAGGCTTTGTTTTTTTTATTCAATCATGAACGATTGATATCTGTTTGGAATCAGGAACTTGTGAGAGGGGAGCATAATGAGTTGTGCAAGCAGTCTCACACTTGCCTTATCTTTGTGATTCCTTCTCCACAAAAATCCATTTCCGACCACGATAGTTGGTTGACCTAATCACCTGTGCATATGCGGGCTAGGTATAAACGAACAGCTGTCGTTTCTGTCCGCTTTGCTAGGCGGGATGCTTTAGTGCAAACTCTCAACGGTGGGATAATCAGTAGAGGTTTATTGACTACGCGGTTACTGATGTTCGTCAGAACCTGTCACTAATATTTGCTCACGTTCGTTCTGGATATCCGTCCCAAGGATTGGGTTTGTAGAAAATGATATATTCTAGAACTTCCGAAAGATTGGAAGTAGGTTTGGCTAGGCCTAGGCTGTTATTTAATCAACGGCAGCGGAAACCTGAAAGGAGATCTGATCAATGCAACGAAAGCGTGCTATACAGAGCTCACCGTGGGGGAATTGTGTCGATGCGGTTTTTTCGAGCTCATTAAAAGCACCAAAATAGTTAAAGCAAAACTTAATTCTGGAAGTGTCCAAGTTGTTATATCTAGTGAAGAAACGTTCTCTAGAAGATCGATATCGCCAAATAATGGTGATACGTGCTAAATCTCGACGGTACACTTGATTGTGCCCGGTGGGGGAGAAGGGACCTTATGTTAGAAGGAAAAGATTAAAGGTAGTCTAGCTTTTGTAATTAATCCACCTGATCGATGGGCTAGGTCACTACTTGGTATCTGAACTTTGATTGGTGGTTTTGATAAGTATGTCGTGGTTATGTAACCATGTCCTGATAGTCCTCAATTATACAGGACTGATTGGGAGATGAACCTGTCCTGATACTAGTCACCAGCGTAGGGTGAAGGTGCTACTGGCCCGTGATTTGATGATCACGTCCAGCTTGAATGGATCTACCAGGAAGCTTAGAGAAAAAACAAGAGGCAAGAAGAGTAAACTGTCTGTTGGAGAACCGCTACAGATGCACTCACTTGATGTTGTCTGCAAGGGACCGACTATCACATGCCCTAGTACTTTCTCATCAAGGTGACCATAACACTTAAACTTCAGGTGAATCTGCCCAGCACACTTGGCTGGAAACCTTATACGAGTTAATTTGTTTGTGGCAGTTCTCTGATGAACAGCTTCGCGGTGACAATTTTCTGTTCCCACCTTTTTCTTTCATAGGTCCCCCCCCCTGATAGATCTTTCCTTGCTGAACGTGATAGCGAAATCCTAAACACTAGCCATTTGTAACGGACACTGGTACTAGATGCTGCATGATAGGATCACTACCTACCAAGGAAGAAGTCTCCTGAAACCCCCGACGTTTGAAACACCACAAATCGCCCGGCACAGATGGGCTGGCTCCCTTCGGCTCCTTCAAGAGACGGTGTTGCACACCTTATTCGAGAACGGACTTTTCTTGTTTCAAACCATTCGATTGTAGTTTGGTGGACGTCGTGTCTGTTTTCAAGAAGGGCCCCCAGCACCATCTATCCAATCACCGATAGTTCATTCTCATTTCCGTTGCATGCAAAGTGATCAAATCGTCCATCCTTCGCAGACTCAGATAAGTGAACGTCATATCTGTGAAGAATAAGCCGGACTCCTCTTCAGACAGAGCTGTGTTGGCCACATATGCCTTTATTTTACGTCAGATTATCTATCGAGCAACGCAAAAAGTTTAGAAGATCAACCATTTCTTTGCAACCTTAGTCCACTGAACTTCTCCATTTTCTTTTCGAATCCACTTTCAACGTTCCTCTCCTAATGCTTCATCCAAATGGACAGCCAAAAGACAGCAACCAAAACCTTCGCACGACAGTGCATGGTTAATGGTTGTTCAAACTGGAAAACTGAAACGTTTACTACAAGAATCGCAAGAGCTCACGCTCATAAGGGACCAGTTAGAAATCACTTTACCTATGTTGGTAGTCGTTTCATTTCAAGAAGACCAAGAGAAGAAATATCAACGCAAATCCACAAGGTCCGGGTAGCTTTGGCTAACCACTGCGACTTGTGGCGTCGACGCGAACTCAATCTTTCCTTGGAAGGTCCGGTCTAAAATGCCATTATACGCGCAGTTTTACTCTACGGCGATAAGAGTTGGCCCCTTCACACAGAAGACGTACGGAGACTGACTGTCTTTGGCCACCGTTGCATCTCCGGAACATGTTGGCAACAACAAACTACCATTGACGGGGATCACCGAAGAATCTTCACCTCAGACAGCTTTAGTCATCCTCGGATACGTGGGACATGTCTTGCAGATCCAGGTTCACCGACTACCACATCGTGTTATCTTTGGGTAAGCCAATATTCATCGGAAATAGCGCCCAAGACGGGCAACGAATAAATTGAGCTCAAGTTAAGTCAGTAGTAGCTTTACGCATCCGGACGGGTGAATTTTCAGCATTTACACCATATTTGTGGATTCAAATTTACAAAATCATTACATAGTGAAACTGAAAGCAGTGGGTTGTATTTGTAAACGAAGCAAGCAATTGTGCAATTCTGTG